CCCCCCTCCCCAGCAGCCCCGGGGCACCCCTGGGGCTTACAGCCTGGGTGAGGAGAAGATGGCTGCCAGGCCTTGTCCTCTCAGGACAACCGTTTGCCCACGCGTGGTGGCCAAGAAGTGGGGGCTTGCTGCCCTCCAGTGGCAGGACCGCTGGGGGGAGCCAGGGGTGGCTGGCAGCGGGTTGTGCAGCCCTCCTGGTGCCCTCCATGTCTGCCCTGGGCCCCTGGGCTGGAGGTTGCCCTTAGCCAGAGCCACTGCACAGCAGTGTTCAACATAGGCAGCCATCATGGCCCCAGTGCTGATGGGGACCCCACGCCTCAGCATCCTCTGACCAAGGTGATGTCCCAGCCCCTGGGACAGCTATGGAAGCGGCGCTCTCCATTTTATTTAAAAAAACCCCAAATCTTTGTCACAGGACAACAGGCGAAGGAGCAGGGCAGCGGCGCTGGGCACTGTCTCCTGCCCCTGCTTTGCCCCAGGGCTCCCCAGAAAGGGAAGGGTCTGCACTGGGGATGAGAAGGGGTAGATGCTGCTTCCAACAGACACAGTTGCCAAAGGGGCTGAGAGCAGAAAGCTGCACGCTGCAGACCCCATCAGCCAGACCACAGCACTGGAAGCCTTCTTGTGGCCTCCTCCCTTCGGGGTTCATTTTTCGGGAGCAAAGGGACTGTTCGGCAAGTGTCCTTCTCTGGCCACAGCTGGGCTAGCAAAGCTTTGCCTTCCTTGTTCTGCTAGCGCTGCCCCACACCACAGATGATCTTACCCATCCATCCCTCCACCTCCCAAACCAACAGCATCCCCTCTCCCAGCCCACCAGCACCAGTAACAGCAGACTTCTCCCACTCAGATACAGTCACATCACACAGGGAGGGGAACAGAGGGATATCCAAAAAGAGCAGCAGGGATCTGCCACTGGTTAAAGCATGCCAGACAGCCAGGCAAGATGGGTCCCTGCGTCCCGGAGGAAGGAAGAGGAAAAGAGAGGTCAGTCCATGAGTGGTAGCACAAGGTCGCTGCCCAGCTGGGCGTCGCAGCCCATTGCTTGTATGCCTCCCCCTTCCCTGCTGAAATTCTCCGCCATCCGCAGCCCTGCTTCATCGGATGATGGGTGCCGAGCGGTCGTTGGTGACTGTGGGACGCAGCTTGACTGTGGCAAAGGGGTTGGTACCTCTGGAAAGGGAAAGGAAACAGGCAACCATCAGGAAATCTGCAAAGACCATGCAGGGGTCCTGTTGACCAAGCAAAGACTATTTGGTCCTGCCAGACAGCCGCCACCATGCCAAGGAGGAGAGCATGGTAAAGCTGGCTGCTGAGTATGTTTTCTCCCTCTTTAACACACCCTGCTGCAGGTTCCCGTGTGGTGCCCCTGGGCTCCTCTCAGGGCTTCTCACCCTCCCTCTTCCATGGGATGAAGAAGGGGCACTAGCATAAAGCTGTCCCTTGTGTTAGCACTCTACACTTGTGGCTCCTGACCTCCAAGCAAGGAGTCAAGGAGCAGAAAGAGGCCGCAGCACCATGCCAGAAACATGGAGACACCAACCCAGCTGCAGGGGGAAGGAAAACAGGGATTTATGGCAAATCTCAGATCCACAGACCTGACTCATCAAAGGTAAAAGCCAAGTCCCTTCCACCTCCGTGCTTTTCAAGCAGGCGGAGCTGCACAAATCATGTAGCTCCACACTCAGGCTGCAAGCTGCTATTGTGGCTCTTCCTAGATGGATTAGAAGGAGCATGCAGGTCTGGCCATCTGCTCAGGGTGCTCAGGCCCTACCTTGTATTGCCAGAGGTAGGAGAGAGCCTTCCCAGTCAGCTAGAATGGCCCACCTCTGGTGGACCCACCTACTGTCCTGGAAGGTGGGTTATGCGTTGCTTTCCTCCAGACTTTTGCATTCCCTGTTACTCCCACATTTGATAATCCAAAAGATTAAATATTAATAGTATTGTAAAAATAGCCCCTCCCCGGCCTGATGATTCCAGAGTGCAGCTGCACGCCTCACTCACCGTGGGAAGAGTTCAGGGGGCTGCTCAAATACTCCTGATTTCTGCAGTGAAAAGAAAGGCAGCAGTGAGCGATGCGGGGTGGGGAGGGGAATGGTGAGACGAAAGTGGGGCAGGAAACACTGCACACACAGAGGAAGATTTCACAAAACACTTAAGTGAGTTAAGACCCCAAGTCCTACTAACGGGGCTCTGACTCCTTATTCATTCAAACTTTGCATAATCTCACAAATTCACCACTACAGATAACACCCTGACTTCTGTGGTGGGGGTTGTCCATACACCACAGGTTCCGTATTGCCCTGAGACATCTCCCTTTGTCTTGGGGAAGAAAGGAGATGCCTCAAATCCCCAAAATGTCATGTCTTAAGAGCACAGCAAGCAGTGACATTCTGAGCTACATTGCACCCTGCCAGCACAGCCAGAGATGCCCCCCTCATGTTGCCCGCACATTCTGGCAAAGAGTTCATCATCAGTGCCCTCACACGTTTCCTGCATCCATGGGGAACTCAAGAGCTGTAGCTACCTACCCTACACCACATACTGCTTAAATGTGGACCAACCTGATGGAGAAAGATGGACCTATGCCCTGTGGCCCTTATTCTTGGCCAGTAGATAGTGAAGGATCAGTGACAACTGGCCTGCTAAAGTATGTCAGTTTCTGTAGCTGGTGGCAGACAAGAAAGCCACATGTGGCTGTCTGTGTTACAGTTGGGAAGGCAAACACGTACATTTGCTCCTGGCTCAACTGGAGGATGGCTTGGGCAGAAGTTTAGAGCAAGGCTGAGTCCTTCCAAACTTCTGATGAGGCTCAATCACTCTGCCATGGTACTCCAAATGCTCCAGGCACTTCACTGCTCAATCCCAGGTCTATCCCTACACCCTAGTCCTGGGACCAGACAGAAACCAGTGACCCAGAGGCGGGGTTTGGCTACAGAGCCTGTTCCCCTCTGTGCTGTGCAGCCTGAGGCTCCCCGAAACCACAGAGCAGGACATGAAGGTAAAAAAAAAAAGAATTAAATGATGCATTTTTCAGTCCTTAGAGCCATCCAGTTGCTTGCAACCTCTCACTGGCCTAGAATTAGTGGCCAGAGATGAGGTTTCCCAGCCTCCTCTGAGACTGAGCAAGTGATGCCCCATGGGCAGCACCATTTTTCCCTCTCCCAGGTCCTCTCCTTTAACTGTCCTCAACTTTAACTTTGTCCTCACCAGTCAACTCCCCACAGCTGGAAGCAATGATAAGTGGAGGATTTCCTTCCCAGTACGCCATCAGTTGGACACAACTTGTTGTAAGGCTCTCCAAAATAGCTGTGCCCTCAGCCTTTGCCCCTAGCTTTTCCCCTCCCCCAGCTGTGACTTTAACCCAACACTTCACAGAATCACAGAATTTTCAGAGTTGGAAGAGACCTCTAGAGATCATCTAGTCCAACTCCCCTGCTAAAGCAGGATTGCCTAGAGCACATTACTCAGGACTGCATCCAGGCGGGTTTGCTTGATTTTAGAAGAGGAGCCCGATGAAACTCCTCTCCACTCTTTGAAGGGAGAAGAAGGATGGCATCTCTGTTAGCTGGTCACCCACTCCCAGCCCAGCCTGATCACTCCATGGTCCTACTATTAGCAGAAAGAGGCGCTGCCCTGGAGCCACCAGAAATCAGGCTGGGAGGTCATGGAGAAAAGAACTGAACTGAAGGGCCCCTGGTGAGCAAAAAGAGAGAGAAATGACAAGGGAACTGGCAGAAAAGCAGTCCCTCGAGGGAGGAAAGCCTGCGGATCTTCACATACAAAGCCGACTGGCAAGGTCCACCAAGACATGGTGGCATGGGAACAGACTGGGTGAGAAAGGTCAGTGCTAACAAGACCCTTTAGGTCAGGAAGAAAAGGGATCACACACCAACATCTGGAAGGTGTTTTTCTTTCTCAGAAGGCCAATGGAGAAAAGGTGTGCCTTGGAGGATGAAAGTTAGACATACCCCACTCCACACACACACACCAGTCACTCCTCCTGCACTCACCTTGGAGCCAGAACTGACAGGGGTGGCCACCGCACTCTGGTGACTGCTGGCACCCATCGGGAGGGGAGGTGGGTTTGGCAAACTGGGCTGGGCAGCAGCAGGCCAGTAATTGCTAGAGGAAGGAGTGTTGGGATGGTCCAGGATGTCATCCATACTGTGACTGCTTCGCAGTGGGAAGGACCTGAGCAAGAGGAGAAGACAGCGGGGTGAGAGTCAAAGAGCAAGGAACAGGGAGCATCACAGGTGCTATCCACAACATGTATCTCTGGGATGTCTCTGGAGGAAATACACATGGCTTGGACTGGTCCAGTCACAAGCGCCTTTGAGAAGATACCGCACATGTTAGGCGAGCCATCCAGGGTAAGCCTGTGAGATCTCAGGGCACAGCAAGGCTCTCAGCAGATGCTTCAGCATGGGAGCACTGCAGCTCTCCACAGGGCACACCCCAAACAGGCACCCCACTGGTGTCAGCAACCTAGAAGGAGCCATTCCAGCTCCTGCCTGGCTGATTGCTCTCCTGTTACCTGGTGGCTGTCTCCTCCATCTCCCTCGCATCCTGCAGAGGCTTGACATAAGCTTCGGGGAACCAGCCGCGTCTAAGGCACAGAAGCAGAGACGAATGAGGTCCAGGCAACCATGGTTTGTGGCTCTTCAGATCCAGCTGCCAAGCACTCCTGATCTACACCCATCCCACACATCAACCAAGCCGCTGCTGCCGCTACCTCATGTGACAGGGTTTCTGTACATCTTTCACCCCCAGGTGGAGCACGCGGTTATTGCGAGACAGCCGTTGAGCTTGGAGCAGGACTAGCTTATCTCAGAGGCTGTGCAAAATTCCTGCTCCGGGGAGTAACGCTTGTGCAATCCAGGAAGAGACGTTCTGACTGAGCGCGATGGCCAAGGCCAGCGCACAAGGAAGCTGTGGAAATCCCTTCTCCTCAGGGCAAAGCAGCTCCACCCCAGAAATCCCCCCCAAAAAGAAAGGCACTGCTCTTGCTCATCTTACATCTGAGCATGAGCTTCCCTCCAGAGCATGGTGCAGGGATGCCGTGTTTGTTTTGCAAACAGGTGTTGGCCGGCAGCGCCATGGGGAGTAATTCAGTAAGCGGTGGGTGCAGCAGTTTCCATGCCCTGTCTGTGCTGGAGGGTGCGGTGGCTGTTGTGGTGTGAGCTGAGAAACGCTGGGCCTCTCAGGTAACTCCAGCAGTTCATGGCCCTGAGCTGGGTCCCATGACAAGAGTCACTCAGTCACGCAAGCTGGGAGGAGGTCACTGCATCCCTGGTCCTTACACCCACAGCCCCTGGAGCCTTCTCAGGCAGCTCATCCACGCTCACCCTGTCCCACCGCATCTTCTCTGCTTGGAGAACCCCCGTGCTAAGCACAAGACATGACATGGCGATGTCCCACCCAGATGGTGGCTGAGACATAGTTGCCCAGGCCATACCAGGAGGGGAAGAGGGACACAGTTTTGGATTTAAGCCTCCCAGCTCCAGACCTGACAAGCCCACACCAGGCCAATTTACGGCACCAAAGTCACGTACGTTGATGAGCCCTCCAGCTTGCCATACAGCCAGCCATTCTGTGCGTCCGGCATCAGCACCGTGATGACATCCCCGGGGTCAAACCGTAGCAGCGTCCGGTTGGCACCCGTCATGTGGGCCACGATAGCCTGCACTCTCACCATGCCGGTCCTCCTCCTGCCTTCGCTGCCGCTGCTGGCCTCTCCAAAGGAACCCGAACGGGAGGTACGGCCAGTAGGGAGCAAACCTGCAAGGAGGCATCAGAGGTGTCTGGCTGGAGCCCGGCATCCTCCTGCAAGACCTATGCTGCCTCGAAGACACCCACACTTCCCCAGTCAAATAATTCTCCTAGAGGAGTAGATGGCCTTTCTCTGTAGGCAGAGAGCAGGGCATAGCATGGGAAAGGGTAAAACATTCATCTTGCAGAAGAATATCAACCCAAGCTGAAACTACTTGCTTTGCACTATGTCCTCTTTGGCCAGATGTCTAGGGCACAGGCACTGCCTGCTAAATATCTGGCTGATGTCCCTCTTCCCAACCCTGCCAGAGCAACCGAAAATTTGAGTCTTTTTCCTCTCTCCCCACTCTTTCTTTTGGTTTGTTTTTTTTTTTTGTTTGTTTTTTGGTTTTTTTCTTTTGTTTGTTTGGGGGTTTTTTTAACACTTTCAGGAAGCAAAAGCAGGTGAGACATAAGGTAACTGGCTGGGTTTCGTAGGGCAGGGTAATATTTAATCTGGTAGAGCAAGGGAAGGTGCATTACCAAAATGGGAACTCCAGTAAGAACCAGATCTCATGGTTCAAGGAGCCTTGAAAATTACACACCTGTGGGTTCCCCTCCTCATGCAGCCAGCCAGGAAACCTGGCCTTGTCCTGGATGGACCCTTCTCTGAAGACTGAGCTCACCCTCTGCTTCACTCAACCTTGCCCTCCCCAGCTCCCATACGCACTGTCCTCTCACCATGCCCAGTGATGTGGCTGAGGACTGGTAGTCTGATAGAGCTGTGGTCCCTCCCCAAAGCCAACCCTGCTCCCAGAGAGGCCCAACCACTGTGTGTCTCCCCAGTTTTTCTCCTGGACATGAATCATACTTGCTGATGGTGTCCGCCGCAGTGGCTGCCTGGGGGAATCTGATTGAGGAGACAGTCTCATTTCTGGAGGCTCCGGAGATAAGACACTGGATCTACTCCCAGTCATGGGAGAAACAAGGGGTCTCTGGGGCTGTTGGAAGGAAAGGAGACTGAATCCACAGGGCCTGCATCAAGTGGGACATGCTCTCAGAGATACCCAGTCCCTCTCAGAAAGCCAAACCCAACACATTCCCCCATTGCAGCCATACACATGCTTCCCTTCGTCTGGGCCAGGAAGGGACACAGCAAATACCACAGTCGGCCAAGCACAGGCCTTGCTCTGCAGCCTCGCCACTGCCAAGGCAGAGGCTGTCCATGGGCTCCTCACCATCTCGAGGTGGGTGGGGGTGAGCCGGCCTGACGGATATCCCTGGCTGTGGGAGGCCGTGAGAAGACCTTGTGAGTGGCTGTTTGACGGGTTGCGGCTGGCTTCCAGCTGCTCCTTCCACTGTGGAGTCTTGGTCTGGATCATGCCCCGTGCCTGGGGAGAGAGGGAAAAAGAAGGGGTGATAGACAGGGTAGAACAGCTAAAGAGGGAGCTGAGGGCTGCCACGTGCATTAGATTAGAGACCAGGTCCTCCCCACAATAATGTTTGTGGGAATAGCTAAACAGAGCCCCAGGAGAGTGAATTTCTAGGATGGCACCCTCCATCAGAGACCCCGTGGTCCCAATGACCCTGCCATAAACACCTACGTCACCCTTCCCTCTCCCATCGCCCACACAGCCAACTAACACCATGTCAGCACCACCCTCACCGCTGGCCGTGCTCTCCCAGCCCAGTACAGTCAGACTAGACTCCACAGCAAGAAAGGAAATAAAATTTCCCACCCAGTCCATGCAGAGATGCTGCCTTCACCCAAGGAGCGGCTCAGCCCTTGCTCCCTCCTGCCTGCATGGCCCTCCTTCAGCCATGCTGGTACTCCCTCAGCTCCACTCCCTGGCACACCAGGGCCGTACCCTGCTGTAAAACTGGAGGAGAATGTTGTAGAGCATCTGGTGCTTTTCAGCCAGGAAGCGGTAGCGGCGTTTCTCCTCCAGCTCAGCCTCCCTCTGGCTCTCAGAGACAAACACCTGCATCTCTGAGCGCAGTCGCATCACGTTCTCCTGGACCACAGGGGAAAGAGGAAGGAAGGGATCAGCATAAATCCATCTGAGTGGGCTCACACACGGCAAGGGAAGGGTTGAAACAGGTCATCATGTCTACCAGCTTCCCAGTCCACTCAAAGTGCTGGAGCAGCACAGACGAGCTAGAGCAGAGTGCCAGGGATTAAGTCCTTGCACACTGAGGGTTGCTAAATGAGGAAAGGGCTTGGCAGGACTGAGTACCACAGGTCAGCAGCACCCTGTAGAAAAAGAGTTTCCTCCTTTCCAGATAAGCCTGCTGCCTTTTGAACGTTGGGGCCAACACCTTGGCTTTTAAGGAAGGACAAGGTTGCTTAGAAACCAGCCCTGACTCCAGAGAAATCATCCAGTTCTTTTTCCAACTCCCCTTCCTGCAGTCACTGCTCACCTTCATCTCCCGGACATTTTTATCACGGGCCCTCTCCATTCTCCACAGCTCTGCCATGCACTTATCCAGGTTGGTGGCTCTGCGTTGGTACTCCAGCTCATACTGCTTCTGGCTTTCCTGCCAGGGACAAACCAGGCTGGGTGAGGAAACAGAGACCCAACCACACTGTGATGCAGCAAGGGTCCTGCTCTGATGGGCGGTTGAGTAACTGAGTCCCTCTGAAATCAGGCTTCCCTTGGACCTCTTATAAAGTCTTTCTTTACCTTTCTCTTCATTTTGAAGGATCCCAGAGTGCTAATGAGTCTCAGGATCTCAGGAGCAAGAACTGGTGCCCAGCTCCCCCTGCACTGGCAGCAAGCCCCCAGGTCTCTGTCTGTCTCCCTCCGTGACACTACCCACCAGCATGGCCAGCTGGGCCACAACAGCACTGGACCCACACCTATTCAGAGGCTGTGGTTCAGGGAAGCTGGGAATTCTGCTTTTGGGATGCCAACTCTCTCAGCCCTGTTGAAGCATTCAGCAAGTCCCGCTGCACAAAGGAGAACAGCTGTCTGCCCTCTTTAGCCCTCCATCATCAACCAAACTACTGTGGGTTTGGTCCATAATGGGAGAAGAAAATAAGCCCCCCTAACTCCTGCTGAGGAAAGTTGAGGAAACACCTCAAGAGCTCAAGCAAAAGCCCTTGGGTGGAGGGCAGAGGGAAATGAGGAGGGCTGTGCAGGAGAAGGGAGTTCATCACTCACGCTGATGAACTGCACGTCCATTTTGGTGTTCTTCTCCATGTGCTGCAGCAGGTCCACGTGGAAGGTCTGAGCCTGGAAGAGGCAAAGGAGCCATCACCCTCATCCCTTCATCATATGGGGTGAAGGGGTGGCTTGCAAAGCCCACAGAGCGAGTGACTCCTTTGCCACCTAGACCTCATACAGAAGCCAGAAACGGGCACATTAGGACTACATGGAGGAGCCCTGCAGCCTGGGGGTGGGCACTCAGCACCCACCGGACCATTAACCCCTGAGTTTCAGCACAGGCACGAACAGCAGTATCTGGAAGGGTTAGCGTCCCTTCCACTCCTGTCCCACCACTGCCACCCAGGAAAAGAGAGGATGGCCTCACCACATCTTCAGAGCCAGGCATTGCTCAGTCTACTGCACATCTGCCACCACACTTGAGGAGAGGTGGTGACAGTCCACCAACAGCACCAAACATTGAACAACAGCCAGGCTCTGGGCATGCCAGCTCTGTAACACACCTCTGTCATACACAGCAGGGACAGCAGGGAGGCAGGCACCTGCCAGCAGGCATGTCAGAGGGCAGGAGATGGGGCAAATCGGGCAAAATGCCAGCATGCTGTGGTTAAGGAAGTCCCTTTTTCCCCCCACCTGCACCAGCCCCCAGGAAAACCACTCACCACGACTTCTAGATCAGAGCTCAGGAGTCTCTGCGTGTTGGACATCTGCATCAGAATTTCACCTTCAGGGAAAAAGACGGGAGAGGGTAGAAAAATTCCACGGCCATTTCTGTGTAGAATACAACTCAGGGTGATGATATACGGGCGTTGAAAGTCCAACAGATATCGCAACACACTGCTCTCTGCACCCTGAGAGAGGCTGGTAGCCTTTCTCCCCAGGCTCCACCATCACTCCCCAGGCACTGCCAACATGGGATTGCTCCAGCCCACAAAGCTGCCAGACCAGCACTGCTACAGCCCCAGGTGCCGGCAGGCAGCTTCGGCTCTGCCATGGGCTCCAGGTGCTGGGTTTCTGCTCTGCCACTGCCCCTACAAGGCCCATTTCCATCCCCAACGGCGCCCCAGCTACGGTGCACGGTTCTGGCTGTCCTACAGGAACGAAGCTACAGCACTCGCTGCCAATGCTGTGTGCAGTCCCGCTGCACCCGTGTTGGTAGTATGAAACCGTGAAGGGAAGACACTGATGACAGGGAGCATAAGAGTGAGCCGTGCAGATGATGGTAGGACTCTGCAGAAGGGACACATCTGCTGGAAGATTTTTACTAAAATGCTAAGTATCAGAGCAGCTCCCTGAACATATTTTCAGCTGCTGTCATTAGGCTGCAGAATTATTTGCGCTGCTGAGTGTAAGCCCCTCAGCTCTGAGCTGCCGTTTCAGCTGACTGCAGGCTCAGGAGGACAGACTGCAGGCTCAGGAGGACACCACCTCATCAGCTGTTGTCAGTCCGTGCTCTCCAGCTTTTCCCTCACATGTGCAATGAGGAGCAAAATGTTCCTCCAAGATGAAAACTTCAACTCTCAGGGCAGAATGCCTCAGCAAGGACTGGTTTCCATGAGAGGTCCATCACTGGAGGTCCATCCCAGGAGCTGCGCTCAGTTGTTGGTCTCAGAAAGGTACAGGGGAGAGTGCTGGGCCTTGGGGTTATTCAAGGATATACAATAAATTTGACTCTTACTGCCTGGACAGGGCCAGGCACTGTGAGACACCATTTACAGGAGCTGTCTTCCTTCCCCCAATACCTAGAAAGGGACGAGCTAAGGGGGGAATGACAAAAAAACGTAGCTGTGGCTCATCACGGGGCAGAGGATGGCGAGCAGGAGAGCCTTACCCAGCATGTGTGAGGTGGAACTCTGCAGCGCTTGCTCCCCAATCTTCTCGATTGCCTTAAAATACACTTCAGCCGCTTTGGATAATGCTGTGAGAAGAGGAGAGGGGAGGTAAGGATCTGGCCTGCCTTCCCACCATCACCAGCCCCAACAAGCAGTACACAGGACAGCCACCCCCTGGTACCTCCCCTATAGGCAAGGGTACCCTGTTTGTCCTCATCTGTGCCTCATAAGAGCAGTGGATCCAGAAGCAGGAGAAGAGTGCCAAAGAGCAGCTCAGGACAAGTCATAGGAGGGGACCAGCAGCCTTGTTCTGGGTGACGGCACAGCTGGTGCCCAGGACAGATGTTGCAGCACAGTCTGGAGCCCAGGCCATGCGGTACCCCACTCACCGTGGAAGGCACGCAGGTAGTTATTTCCCAGGTACACCAGGTTCTCCAGCGCAGGGTTGAACTGCTCCAGGATACTCTGTGGCCAGGCAGAAACACGTTAACGTCAGTCTTCCCCACGTCCCAGAGACCTCAGCAGGTCGATGCCCTCCCGCTGTGGTTCGGCTGAGTGCAGCAGGGATGCAGAGATCTCCCCCAGCCACGACGCTGGATGGCTGCGCGGTGATGTACGGCCAAGCGCCAAGTCAGCTCCCTGCATCAGAGGTAGCTGCGACCTTCGGCTGCCCTGAGTCCTCTCCAACCAGCTGGGAGAGGAGCAATGGCAGAGGGCAAGGTAGCTTCCTGGAGAGCCAAGTGGTCACCTGAAAATGGCTTTCTCCCAAGGCCCCACACTCACTGCAAACGGGGGAGTAACTGCAAGGGGATCTGAGCAGCCTTTTCCCTCATCCCCGAGCCTGTTGGGGTGAGGGCCACTGCTTTTTATCCAGGCACGAACACGACTTTTTCCTGGCCAGGATACAGTGCACTGCCAGACTCGGCACCTTAGAGAAGGGATGGATTGCTTCAGACCAGCCTCTCCGCTCTTACCTCCTCTATGTATCAAAGGTGTTTATTGCCAGCAGCAGAGCAGACCAGGGGGTAGAATAAGCAATTCCCCCTTCTCCCAGCCCTCCCCACCTTGGTGCAGCACCGATGTGCGTAGGGAAGCCTTCGTGAGATCAGGCTGCTTTTTCCAGCAAAGGGGAAAACAGCTGACTGAGCTCCAGCTTCCTACCAGCAACCAAGGCATGTCACCCTTCATAAACATGCCCCATATCCAAACCACCCTGGTTGCCCAGTTCCTTTCACGGATCTGCCTTGGGTGCCACACCACCCTCCCCCTCCTGCCAGCGGTCTGCTCTCAAACACAGCCCAGAGCCCACAGGAGCTGCTGTAGTTCAGCCCGGGGATGGATCCAGCCCTCGGCTGTCCACCCTTCAAGGGAGCCTTTGGCAGAAAACAGCTCTCCTCCCACCCGCGCATCTCCCCTATGCAGACAGTAGCAGCCTCTGGCGTCGGCACTTACCTTATAGATGGAGATGGTGGATCTGTAGGACAGGTCCATCTCCAGAGCTTTTTCCTTTTTCTATGATGAAGCAAGGAGCAAAGGAGAGCACAAGGTGCTATACCAGCCCGGAGGACTCTGCTTCTGCAGAGCCAGCTGGATGGAAAGAGCCCGTCGCTGGCAAGGTAGGACAGCAGGAAGACACAGCCGTGGTAAAAAAGGGAACGGAGCACTGCTGGAGTTTAATAATTCACCAGCCAGGAGCCTGGAACTTGATCTTTGCAAGTAACCAGACTCTGGGAAGAGAAGAATCCTGTGACAGCCAGCAAGGGCATGTGACCGCCTCCTTTTTAATTATTGATTGCCTGCTCTGTACCCAGCTCCACCTGCCCTGACACCTGCGGAGCCAGCCACCTGCCAGAGTAACCGCCTTATGGCTCGCTGCCTCTGTCACTGCCACCGCTCGGAGGTGGCTCACTCAGCCTTGCTGTGCTAACAGAGCATCTTCAGGTCTCTCGCACGAAGGCACCTCGAGTCAGGAGATCCTTATCAGCTTGTGATCACAGGCAGCAAGTAACTGGGGGGGGTAAACATAAAGAGAGCTCAAAATGGGTTCCACCTCTTCCCTGCCCACTGTTCCGCCACCCCAGGCCTCAGCCCTCTGGCTCTTTGCCTCCCCCAGCCTCCCAGTCTCAATATGAGCCCCACCAGCAGGCACGAGCTTGTGCCTGAACCCTCCGGCTCTCCCCACCTGCGTGCAAGGAGCCCGAGCACAGCATCACGCTGGGAAGTCCCTGCGGACGGTGCAGGCTTATAAAGAGAAGGGGAGAACGCAACCCAGGGGGAAAAAGCAGAAGGGAGCTCATGTTCTCTCCATCTTGAGATGTAGGGTTTTGTGTTCCCACAGGAAGGTAGTCCCCTCTGTTACGGAGGAAAAAGAAAATCTTTACTCCACATTAACAGCCCTGTAATTCCACAATCTCATTTGTGAAAGTGAAAATCAGAAGGCAGATAATCAGTTTCTAGCCCTATTCATGACTCAGTACCCACACTCCTGCCAGTGGTGTCCTTTTGGAATCAGTGGGCACCAGGTCCAGCAGACTTGCAGCAGTTACCTTGTCCAGGATCCACGTAGGGCTACCAAAATTAAAGCCTCATCTCCTGTCATTTGTAACCTGAGGGATTTCAGTGTTCCTCTTTCTAGGCCTGACCAGCTCCAAGAGGATTCTCACATGGGAGTGGGTACAAAGCCACTCCATTGGCTGTAACGGATAAGCCCAGCATGCAATGCCACACTTCATGGGACCACCAGCCACTCAAGACCACACACGTGCTCCCAGGGCTGGCAGCAGGGACAGGCCATTCACCTCTTCAGCCCATACAAAGGGTATAATCCTGTGTCTCAAGGGGCCCAATTCCTGATTTTCTACCTGTAAGAAATTCAGAGGCTACAAGCTCAGAACCCCTCTGGGACTTTGCACAATGGAGAGAGAGACAAGACACCCATAGACCGCATGATGGAACCAAATGCAAACCTCTCTTTATTTCAGGTCATGTTAGTTTTTTCACAGAAGCACCGCTCACGAGAGCGGTACATCCCATCAAAAGCAAATGATTAAGAATTCAGTTTTCCAGGTTACTCCTCAAAACGCCTCCCAATAGATACATAAATTATTTATAAATATGCAAAATTTACCGCAGAAACATCAAGTAGTGTAGCATTCCCAATGGAATTTCCAGCAGTAAAAAAAAAAAAAACAGTAAATCCAAATTGTCACAGGGTCAGCTTCTTTGGTGGGAACCGATCTCAGAGCATTTCAATTCCACATTAAAAATAAAGAGAAACGATCTCTCTACCAAGCCAAGGCTATTGTCCCTCATCTTGAGCTTGCTGCGAGTAAAGATAGGCTTTCACGTCTCAGCCCTTGAGCAAAGAGTAACACAGCAAGTCAGGCAGCACAAAAGAGTCTCTGGGGTGGTCTGCTCCCACCCTGGGCACAGTCAGTACCGACGTTGCCAGCCCATCTCGGAGGGGAAAGAGGAAGGTGCTACAGACAACAAACGGCTCAGGAAAGGTTCCCCCTTCTCCCAAGGCCATTCACATCATTCTGCGTCACATCTACGGCGGAAAGTTGCAGCGTTTCAGCTCCCCTTCAAACTGGGTGCGTTGAGGGAAGAATAATCCCTTTTGCCCACACTCCGAAACACCTCGGCTCCAGCGGGCCAAGTAATCGCTGAACCTTTATCTGGCCCGGGCCTATTCTGTGATGTGGGAAGGTGCATGGTGCTTTGTCAGTGGAGGTGCTGCACAGACAGGAGACAGACTCCCGCTGATACAGCTCAAGACGGGTAGGTGGGGGCTCTGGCTTCTGGGAAGGGCTGTACGGTCAGAAAGCAGAGCAGCAAAACCGAGCACAGCAGCAGAGATGGGGCTATGGCATGAAAGTACCTGTCAGCATTTCACAGCTGTCCGGGAATACACGGGTGTGTCCTGCAATACATGTATATGTGTGCTGTTGTCTATTAAGTATCATTAATTCCTCATTATTATTAGTAGTAGTCCCTCCCCCACCTCAGCGTCTTGGTTCAAGGGCAAATCGGAGCCATTTCAGTGTCTTCTGCTCCTTGCCGTGGGGATGCTGAACAGGACCCCCCAGGTCAGTCATCGGCAGAGATGTTGCACCAGCTGCTCAAACTGCTCCCGCTGCTGGTAGATGTAAAGCTGGGTGTCCCAGAGAGCGTTCACCAGCACGGTGTCGTTCACCTCGTCCAACATCACCTCCGTGTGCAACTGAGGGCTGAGCCTGCATTTGGCAAGACAGCATCACCAGCTGGTCACAGACACGCATGTGACAAGGCAGCGAGCCTGCCAAGCACAAGACTTGTGCAAAGTGGCTCCCGCTGTCCCGGGTGTTCGCTTGCCCCTATCTAGCAGGCTTGCAGAGGAGAAGCCTTCCCCCTCCTTCAAGACCCAGCCGCACTCAAGGCTGAGCCATAGTTCAGCAACTGCACCGCTTAAGTAAGGCATGAGTGCCAAAACACACTGTGCGTGGTGGAACAGGGCAGGACGCGCATCCCCCAAGGACCCTGTTAGACAGCATCCCCAGAGATCCCACTAACTGACGCCAGAAAAGGTGTGCTCGGTCCACTGTTGGGCCATGGCATCCTCCGATATGTCACTGAGGCAGGAGGAAAGGGGGCAGGGGGACGGGTCTGGGCAGGCATGCCTCTGGAGGGGACACTATTTGGGATTACGCATGCCACAGCCAGGTCTGAAGTGAGAGGGATCAAAATAGGTCTGTGCAGAGAGAGGAAAGGAAGCTCCTACCGGAAATACGGGACATCCGTCATCTCGCACCAGGCCCTGGCACGATCCACAGCTGGGCCATCTGCGTCAGTGCACTGCGGGAGAAACAGTCCCAGAGTTAGAGCCTGACTGTCACACTGCTCTCCCCCTGCCTGCAAGAGGCTCCCTTGGCACCAAGTCGAACTTGTGCAAGCCACAGAGGGAGAGGAAAAACCAGGAGCAAGTGCATCCTGTATGGAAACGTTCACCACCAAGACTGGGGTGACTTTTTGCTGTTTTGTTTTGTTTGTTTGTTTTAATATAAGAACAGTACTCCTGATCCTTGGGAGACAAAGAATTGCACCCTACAGATTCTCCATCCATCACAGCATTGAGGGGATTCCCTTAAAGAAACCCCCAGGATGATCTGAATCACAGCCTCCTTGGGATTTCATCCCTATCCATTTCTGTCCAAGCCCAGCACCAGTAGAGCCTGTGATTAACTGGAGGCTTTCTGGGCTATCCTGGGACAGCTTCCCTTAGAGCCCTGAAATAAAAGACAGGGGAAGCAGAGGGACGTCTGGGTATTTTCTGGCTTTAGAAAGCTAATAGGACATAAAGCAACAGAGTAAAGTTTACAGTCAAAACTTCAGTTATGATCATTCATTTGGAGTGTTTTCAGGTACAACATTTAATGAACTTCTTTCTGAAGCATTCAAGAACATATTCCTATTACACACTCCTAACCACAGCTCTGAACTACTGCTTTTTGTTAGTGATACTCCCACTTCTCTAGCATTTGCTAATTTCCCCAGTGGGGATAAAGATTTTCCAAAGAAAAATTAATTGCTGTTTCCTGAAGCTTGATTTTTTTTTTGGTCCAGGTTGTTCAGATGATAATCAATGCTCCCTGGAAAGATACTGAGTTTCATGAACTCATACCTACAAACGTTCCTAGGGGTCACCGACCACCACCCTGTCCTCAGCTCTCACGTGCCTTAGCTCTTTACAGCTGAAGGAACTGCACCTCCCTTGGCACTTGAAACCCCAAACAGGCAGACAGGACTTCAGATCTTCTGTGCTCCCACAATTCTTAGGTTACCCACTACATCCATTCCTTGAACTGGCTGTGGTCAGAGCAGTTCCAAGGAAGTACAATTTTCTTCTATAAGGAAGCAGCTGAAGACTGGAAACCTTTGCTGCCTCCCTGCAAGCAGCCCCAGGGGTCTTCCCCCATCCCCTCCTCCCAGTACTCACACAATCCACCACCATCTTGCCAAGCTCCCTGGCCCCAAAGACGGTCTTCGCCAGCTCCCAAGGGTTGGAGGGGCGGAAAACATCCACAGAGCTCACCGGGACCTGCGGAGGCTTCCCTGTCCCCAGGGAGACCACCAACCCCAGTTTTCTTACTTCCTGCCTCTGACCCTGTGGACAAACAAAAGATTTGTTTGCAAGGACCAACAATTAAGGTGGAACATGTCTTTCACAGCCGTCTTGGGGAAGCTCTGAAAGCCAAGGCAAAAGGCTTAGTAGCCTTTTCTCTCTCCTGTCCTCCCCCTTTATTACTGCCTAGGTGAGACAGGTATCATCCACGTGACTTCAACAGTTCCACTGTCCTGTCCCTTGCAACCCTGGCTGCACCCGAACTCATGGGATCACCCCAAAGATGACTCCGAGGACCAGATGACTGTGACACAGTCTAACTCTTTCAGTCATTTTGGCAACACAGCTCCCCTTTCAGCTACAGGGAGCAGTAGCTGCCAGTAGTTAGTCATCTTTCTGAGGAACTTGCCACACCACAGAAGGCATTCACTCTTCAGCCTTGTGGAGTGCCCTACTATTGTCTTATCCATTTATTTTTGGGCAGGAAAAGGCCCCACAGAGCTGCGTCAAGATACACACACAACCGTCAACTGAATCATCAT